CATCCACCACTCCATAATAATCCACCATCTTCCTCAACTTCGCCACTTGATTATAGGGCCTTGTAAAGCCTTCCTCGGATTTCTCCTTATTCCTCCACATCCAAAGCATGTGACAAGCTGTTGCCCAGAACCGATTCCACTTCTCAGGCCACTCTCCACTCCTGTTATTTCCAACATTCATGTGTATCCATTGTTGCAAATTACACGTAAAAAATCTACTTCTTCTAGTAGCAGGTACAACACTAGTCCAGAGCTGAGTGACTAACTTGCAATCAAGCAATGCATGAAGCACTTAGTCTAACTTGCCTGTTTTGTCTACAAAGTGCATTTTAGATGACATGACAAATGGGATAAAGTTGAAGGATATTTAGTATGCAATTTCTTTTATTATTCTTCACTTGATACTTACTAGGTGTGAGACATGTGAATTTATGAATTGTGTAAAATGAATCTAATTAGTTGGTTGATTGAGCAAGACAAACCAACATTTGTAATTAGATCAAGCAAAGTATGTTGTAAGTTGTAACCATTTGATGAAACTCCCAAAGTTTGGAGTACAATTGAAGTGCAAGAATGTCTCGTGTCATCTAATTGATCATGCAAAGCTAGATGTTGACTCAAGGTCAGACAGACACAAAACTAGCACCATAATTATATAACAAAAGGAGGGTTTAAAAGAGAATTTACATCAAGAATATTTGACTAGAAGTGTGGGAAACAAGAAAGTACTCCGTACTATTTGATGAGTTGATGATAGAAGCACTTGTGCTATTATATAGATTGATCATTATAATTGACACTCAATAAATAAATAAAGACAAAAAAGATGTTCTAATCATATTGTTATCTTGTAAGAAAAATAGAATATTTTGTCCTAAAATAGTTACATCATTTTTCCAACATACAAATGAGAATCATAAATATGTTAATTTCGTATACCACTAGTTCTTGCTAAGCAAAACATAATATGGAATGCAAGTTTAATACTTTCCCAGACATGATAAAATTTGAATGACATCAGGAATAACACTAAAAAGGCATTGGGCAATTGAGTAAAAATTACTAAACTACGGTAGTACCGGCAAATAAAACTGTTAAAAATTTGAGGTTTCTTTCTACATCGGCTTGTCTCTAATAAAAAATTTGATCAGATGGGAAAATTTGATGACCCATTTCTAATTGGCAGCTCTATACAAATCTCTCCCTCTCTACATAGAACAATCATCAGATTTACTTAACCGAATATATGACTAACAAATATGCCCCTACTAATACCTATTTCTAATCATATCTGGCTACACTAACTATTCTATTTATCATACAAAAAGTGGGAAATTCTTTATCAGAAGTGGTAGTAGGTATCTTTTAGTTAGTCAGCATTCAGTAGTCACCTCCGATCACCACAGCACGTAGCACGTTTTAATTCCTGAAGTTTGTGCCACAAACATAGCATCTCCCTTGGACCTTGATAATGGGCAACCACATAACCATCCTTGCAACCCTCGTTATAAACTCTGCCCTCATTTTCGTATCGAACTTCTAGACCTTCCTTCTTCATTTCTGCGATCCAGATTCCCATCGCAACATCTTCTAATTTAAACATCTGCAACAGTTTTAGAATTGTCGAGTGTTCATGTATGCCTCCAATGCTTTTTGCATAAAATCTTTAGAGCCCACTAGCATTTTTTTACATTTTGAACAAATGAAGAATTTTACATACCTTCAAATGATTCTCTTTGTATTTCTTGTAGACTGCCTTTGCTATGTCATGTGAGATCACATAGCCGGGGCCATGTGCCCATGGAGGATAATTTTCTTCGCTCCATTCCTTTACAATAGTTGGAAATAAGTAGAGAGGAAAATAATTTAAAAAGCAGGAAATGCACATAAAAGTTTCATTCCAACAGTGTATCAAATAAACAGTTCAGTCCAATCTCAGTAAATACTTTTTCACCTAGTTTCTATAAATGTAAACTGTTAGGGAGATTTCCATTTTCTGATAATAAGCATATGGTAATTAATAAAAATGTATCAGTCTATGGCCCGTGACTGAAGAATCAAGTTTCAATCCAACCACGGGAAATAACATTAACTATAATAGACTCATCCAAGATCTATTTACAAGCAGGCTCAATTAACAAACATTGCATATACAATTAACTTACAATCAGAAACTAATAATGTAAACAAAATGGAAGAAAGATTGTTCAAGAAAGGATATCTCTACCTGTGTGCTGATGTACCATTTGCTATCAGGATTTCGATGAGGCTGGGAATCAGAATTGATGAGTCCGTATAGCAACCCATGAGCCACATTTATCCTCTGCAAAGAGCCTAGCACTTCATCTACACGAACAAATGCATCATCATCTGTCTTCATGATAAACTTTGCTGAAACAACCTGTGTCTGTTCAAAAGATAATATGCCAATGAGAGAGGAATTATTTTCCAAGTCAAAGAAAAGACAAGACATTACCCCAAAAATGCAGATTGCTAAAGACTTCCAGGTGATGAGGCTGTAGTAGTCAACAAACGGCATCAACTGTATGTCTCCATACGTTTGTGCTTCTTTCCACAATTCTTCATTAACTATTTGGCTTTTATGCTGCATCAAATCAAACATGAGATTTAACTCAGCAAAGTCCTTCATTTAACACTATTAACAGAGAATTCTACATATCAAAACATCATGTCTGTATTGATGTTATTCAGGGTGAAAATGCTAAGATATGTGTATAGGTACGGAAAACAAAAAGCTCAATTGCAAACAAATATGTTAGCACATTTTGTTTCTTATTAATGAAACAATTTCTAAGTTTCAAGACCAATAATTCAGAAAAATACAAAGAAAACTTAATTTTATATTATGATATGATAGATGATCTTTCTCTAATTCTACTTATTTAGAATCAAGTGAGAAGATCGCAAGTAACACCCACCAAACCAACAAAGAAGCGCACAGCCGTTGCATTTGATCTAACTGCATTATACTGCATCCAGGTTCTTCTAACAGCCATCCTTCGCTTAAAATTGTTGGCTGTAGAGAAAACACCAATGAAGAGATCCAACGGGGCCTGTGCAGCTACAGGACTTGATTTCAATAGTTCCAGATCATCAATATGATCTGAATCCTCTGATGTAGGCAGACCACTTGCAAGAATGGATGATAATTTTAGGTCCCCTGAAATTTTTATCTCACTGACAAGCCATGGCTCCAACGTCTGAATCATAACCAACAAAATTAGTCAGCATATTTAAACACACTTATTTAATATTTAATATTAAAAAATTAAAAGCAAGAGAGAAAGAAAGTACTTCACGGAAAGCAAACGAAGTTATGTGTTTTCCATCAACTGTCATCTGGATCCCCTCTGATCCCACTCTAATAGTTGCGACGAATGGGTAACCTTGCTTAAAAGGAAAATATTTTCTCTTAATTGATTTCTCTTCGGCTGCTGAAATTTGTCTTGAAGTGTGGGAATGCACGCCGGCTATGTAAAGTTGGCTAATATTCTTGCCTACAATCTTATTGCACTGTTCCAGCTCATCAACTGGCATTTAAACAGCAATAAATAAAGGAAGTTAAAAGAAGTAGTGTAAATGCACTTTATGGCATATACAACATCTGGATCAGTAAAAAGCTAACAGATTAAGTTTTACCACTACAAATTAATATAGAAGAGGAACAACGACAATGAATATTGATAGAAAAATCAACTGATTTTTAGGTAGAAAAGATTCAAATCTGTTGCAACAGCAAGTTAATAGGCTAATAAAACTAAGCAGATGTTATAGAACAGATACTCTTCGGCAGTCATTGAACTCAAATATCTTAAAATCTGATTTCAGAATCATAAGAGGAACCTTGACATCAATTATGATTTATTTCAGAATCATAAGAGGAAACTTTGGCTTCAACTATGATGAACATGAATTCCTATGGATATTAATGAGAGTATTTTTCACCTTTCTTAGTATCTTGAGAATCAGGGGATGGACAGCGTTCCTCTTCACCCCAATCATGAGCTAACGTCCAGGTGTTTTGGACAATTACTGGATCTTCGGTGATTTTATCACCATGAAGCCTAACATTGTAGTGCAAGATAACTGGAGGATCAGGCTCCCCAGGGATTGGTTCTCCAGTCAAGTCTATCCGAAAATTACCTAGAATACCATTCGGAGTGCCAATTACAGTAATGGAAGAACCCTGTGTCAGACCACAAGGTACTTGCAGTCTGTAACTACTATTACCAAGTTCAGAAGAATTCATTTTATTAAGAAAATGGGGACACTGTTTCTCTTTTGCTCTTGAACTATCATTTGCATGACCTTGCTTTTGCTCCTCAATTGAAGAAACAAGACTATTCCATGCATTGGCGGCTTCCTTGATAGCTTCTGCTGCACTAGGTAAACCCTGAACATGACCAATTAAGTGTTTCAAGTGGTTCCATGTTTGCAGAGTTTGTTGTTCTTTTTTGGAAAAGCTGTTCTTGGCAAAGAGGCTAGATACTAAAATGTCCGCAGAAATAACTTGAGAAGTACCATCTGGATTTTGAATAGCCGGCGGAATCACAGGATTTATCCATTCTAGAGGATTAGTACCATTAATAGAGACAGGTATGGTCAAATAACCTTCACTAATAGGATTTTTCATGACCCCGTATCGCAGGATCATAAGCATAAAAACTGTAAACGATGAGGCAATCAGAACTCCTCCATACAATTTCTTCATCTTGATGATCCTATGAATGAAGCAATATCCCTATCATAAGAATGCCAGACTACAACCAATTGATCATTGTCTTTCAGACAGCTCCTTATAATAATTGTGAAGAGAGAAATGGTAGAGTAGAAACAGATAAGGAACACAAATATTGTAAAAAGTTCTTGTTAGATATACGGAAGCTTGTGTAGTGAAACCTTTGCCAAATAGCTATGCGAGATTCACTTATTTTTTCAAGTCTGTTGTCAATCTGAAATCAAGTACCAACTACCAGCCTTTAGAAGCAAGTTTGTATACTGAGACATCCACCATGAAAATCATACCAAAAGCAAATCAAATATAGCAAGCATGTTGAACCTGTATACAAAACAATAAGTTTACACAATTATATCTTTATATATTGCAGCAGGTGGGATAAAATAACTCAAACGCAGTGCTCTGTCAATATGATTAATCCAAACCAAAAGCAAGTATTTGATCTTTTCTACCTTAAAGAAACTTACCATCTTTTTGTTATGATACTACAAAAAGAATAGAATGGAAACACCACAAACCAGTACTTAATAGATCTAAAACAAATGGTATTATTTGTATCATGTTGAAGAGTCTCAAATTTTTTCACAAGTGCTTACATTACACATACCAAAGCATCTAGGAGTCTGTTATAATTTTGTTAAATGTTCTTAGATTCTTTTACAATCAGTTAATGGCCATAATTGATTTAATGTAATTCTACTATTTTTGTTTTCAGCAGAGCTTGTGTTCTGGGATCTTATAAATAGCATTGAGTATCTCTAAGTAGGTAATCTAAGTAATATACAAGTGAGGCATATTCATGTAAACTCTCTACAGTGTTAAAAGAAAATTAGATTGAGTTTATAGAAGGAAAAAAAGAGGCTAAGACTGAACAACAATAACTCTTAGTAACATATCAATAGTAAGCAAATTCAAACATCGTCTCAAAAAATGTTGAATTATAAACTTAAAATTTATCATGGCTTTAGGAATTTATTATTTGCTAGTATCATGAAGATATTAGTATTTTCTAAACATTTTTCTGTTAGTCAATTCCCTTTACCAGCATTCTAATAAAGTTTAATGCAAAGAAGCCACTTCAAAAGAAGTTTTCTAACAATAAATGTTGACCAGTCAATACCCTACCTAAGCAAACGACCACCATTTGGTCAACATAGCAATACGGTATTTCATATTTAGAAACATTAACATATTTATAAAAAATAATACTAATAACTAGCAATTAAAAAAAAAAGTGAAAATCAACATATTTAAGAGAACAAACATAAACTAACTAATGGTTTGATGACACTTAAATCACAGAAAAGCTTAATTAAATTCAATCAAAATCTCAAATTATACATTAATTAGAATCACATAAACCCTACTGGAACAAAATATTATCAATTCAAACTCAGATCTTACTATTTCCATCGTTTTAACTTTATATAAATTCAGCATTAAATCTACAAATACAATTAAATTCAGAAAATGCGTATATAAAAGAAAATATCTATTTATTTATTTATTTATATATGTTTATACATAAATATATAACAAAAATATATTAAACGCGTTAATCTATGAGCTTCTTCCTAAACTATTCGATCTCCAAATCAAATGCCTTAGCAAAAAAATTATGAATCATTACCAAAACGGAATGAACATAAACAAATCATGAAGTTGAGAACAAAATCATGAACAATTAACTAAAACAGTTATAAAATTGCGGTTAATTTGAGGAAGAATTAAACTGTATATACAAGCATCTGAAAGCAAAGCAAGTAAAAGCGGAGTCAAATGGATTAAAAGAAGTGAAAAATCACAAAGAAATTCGAAGAAAATTAGAAAGATCGAGCAAGGAGAGTGCGAAAAGGAAGTAGAATCGCAATGTAAAGCATTGAAAGAGAAAGAGAGTGAGAGAATCGTTTTACCTTCTGAGGTTTTTCTTGTGAAAATGCAGAGGAGAGAGAGAGAGAGAGAGAGAGAGAGAGAGAGAGAGTATTGTTATTTGTGCTGGTGTAATTTCTTTGTTTATAATAAGTTTGAAATTTCTTTCTGATTTTGTGTCTTTCTAATTTCTTCATTGTTCAAACTTAATACGTGTAGTACGAACTTTGAAATGATTGACGGAGAAATAAAAAATATATACATGAATATATTAAAAAAAAGAGTCGGTATAGAAAAATAAAAACACCGAGACATTCAGACACCGTTTTCTCCGCGTTATTAGATTTTTTTAATTTGATAAGGAAGGGTAAATATGTAAACTAAAATTATTCTTTCTATGCTACAAATGTAAAAAAAATGTTGTTATAAAGTGATTAAAATTTCAATTTTTATATTAAATGTAATACTAGTTTTTAGAATCCGCCGGTGGTTCCTATATTTGACTTTCTATATTTTTCTATATGATATGAAAAAACAAACGGTAAGATAAGGGTTAATCAATTAAAATCAAACCTTAAGGGTTAATCAATTAGGTGATACACAAAAAAGATGGGAGTCATCCCAAATCTTCTCAAAAAGTTAATAAATCTGAAAAACTCATTTTTAAACTATTCTTTATAAAATCATATATAATATTTATGGAGATCTCATTAAAAAGAATTAGCGAATAGAAAGTGTAGTCTAAATTAGCAAAAAAATCAGTATAAGAATTATCTATCCTGTAAATATAAGTAATAACACAAGATATATTAGCTATTATATTTTTACAGCTAAACCACTTATTTTTTAATTGTCAAAGAATCAATATTTTATTTGAAAAAAATTAGACCACTATGGAGGAATCACATTCAATTCAAAGTTTCAACCATGTTTGATTTTTAGCTATCTCAATATCTTTGAAAACAATAGAGAATACTACATCTAAGAAATTTAGACTCGAAGTCGGTTCAGCAAAGGCAAAAATAAAATTACCAAGCCAATTCGGAAAGATACCACCACAACCACTAGATATGTTGTCAAAAGAATCATCACATTTGCACTTAAGTCAAGTCATAGTCAGAGGGGTCAAAGAACTTCAATAATCCTAAGAGCACGAAGGTGATTAATGTTAACCTTGAAAGATTTAAACAGGCATAAATTTGTCACAGAAGAAGAGGCACGCAAGACAGAATTATTTTCGGGCAATCTAATTAGTGTCAAATGCACGAGACATCAGAATAAAAAGAAAGGGATATTATTACGACGCCTAACCCCATTTCGAACCTACCATAAGAAGGAAAGAGTATAGACAATGACATCAGAGATGATGAGAGAGCCTTGAGGAAAACTGTGGTTATGACACAAGAATGAAATGGAATCAATTGAAGCAATATTAAGAGGGATTTTAAACAAATTATAAAGCTACATCCATAACTTGACAGCAAATAAACGACCTCTATAATTTAAATTCTTATAATAATATTGTTTAACTTTAAAATATCTTTCAAGGATTAAGATTAATAGAAAAATTAAGTTTCAAATTCATATAAATTTTAGAGTGGTTGTTCAAAATATTTTGAATTTTGAACACTATATAATTCAAATATGATTGAAATAACAAATACAATAATTATTAAATTTGAATTAAGTATATTTATTTATCATTTTTAACGTGTGCCGAACCCTTGTTATACATTGAAAAATAACCTTATATACACCTAAAAAAGAATATTGACAATCAAATAGGGAGGGCCACTACTATGTTTGGACGCTTAAAATTAAAATCCATATTAAAAAGCTTAATATATTTTATAATTGGTATCATGTGTATTAATTTTCTTTGTCCTTGACCTGGTCCATTTGCTCTTGGACTATTTGTAGTGTCCCAAACAGCCGAACACATGTTGTTTTCTTTGGTTGAATCTAGAAACCAAATCCCTTGGCTTTGCCTAACTTTACATTTCTCTTATTTGTTACGCGTTTAATTAATATATTCTTTAAATCAAGCTAATGAATTTCCTGTTACAACCTGAATTATAAGTTTAAACACGTAAAACTTCTTGTGAAAATAATATACTATTAACTATTAAGATCTCATTAGTATATTTAATTAATTAATATCGACGAGAATTAGTATATTCTTTTTGGTCGATTCTTTGTCATGTATGAAATTTCATCATATGAATTTCTTAAAAATTCAATAAATAACACATTACGTTTATAAAATGGGTCTGTTTGATTAATATTTTTAAAAACTATTTTCATAAAACTAGATATTATTTTTTATAGCCTTATAGGTTTAAACAAGTAAGTTTATAAATTTGGCATGATCATAGAATAAGTCGTACATTAGTAATTAACTAATTAATGAACTAGCAGGCTAAGAGCCGGTTTGTTACGTTATTACCAAAGTAGCCTTATCTTTTCCAAAAGTTTAATTTTTAATTCAAAATCGTTGTTTTTCCTATTAGGTGAAATGTAACCTCTTTTAATAAATTATTTGTATTTTAAAAAATTAACTTGCAATCATCCCAACGGTCAATCCTCGTTCATATTTCGAAGGAACACAAAATTGAAAAATGGGAAACGTTGATTATAAGTTACTAACTACATACAATGAATAGCCTTTCTATTTATAACATTATTGAATTTTTTATATGTATTGAGTTAGGCAACAGAAATTTGTTGGTAGCTTTCATTAATTAATTATTGTATATGTGTAGGTCGATGGTTTCATATGAAGCAAAGTATTGCCATGTGTTATTGACATCTCACCAAAGAATAAGAATGACATTGTTGGTTGTATTGCAGGCTTCAAGCAAATGGAAAAAAATTAGTTGTGTTTTTGGTGTCAAGAGATAAAATTGTTTAGGAATTTTTTTTACGAGTCTACTGGGTCATATTTTTGAAATTTTAAAATTGTCCATTGATATTTTTGAAGATCCATCTATAGACGCATCTTGAATTATCTCATTTTTTATAAATTAAATATTTATTTTATTTTTATCAAAAATTAGACTGGAGATACATCTACAAAAATTTCTAAGGTGTATTCGAGAATACATCTTCGAAAACACCATTGAATACATTTTAAACTATTTAAACAACCTTATTTAAGATATGCATCTTCGTAAATTTCTCTGTGTTCATCTTGGGAAAAACATTATCCTAAGTTTGCATTCTTTTTCAATTCAAAGTCGTTTTAATTCGACTAACATCGTCATAATTTGATTCAAACATTAATAAACACGCACATTATAGAACAATGTAATGCATTAATTAAAAAAAACATCTTATAATTTTACAAACATTATTCTGAAAGTATGAAAAATAATACTAAATCATCCCAAAATGTTAAAATATATATAACCTACTGTGTGTGTGTCTAATCTTAACTCATTGGCTCCTCCTCTGTGAGCGGTAACCCAAGGCATTCCATGACTCGGTAAGAATGACATGTGCAAGGGCAACGACATCATTGTTACCTTTCTCAAGCAACCCAAACTTTATGCCCTCATATGTACTCTGCATAATATTTTGAGAGATCAGCAACACATCAATGACATGGTCATATGTGGCCTGCTAATTCTCCAGGATCTCCTCATGAGTTGACTTAGCTGGATGTCTAGGAGCGTCTGGTATCATGACAGGGTGTGATACACTATAGAACCAAGTCATGTAATTGTCCACATAAGACCACTGACTTGTGACTGATATACTCTAACACTCATCTGATACCAGATAACTCTCGTAATCCGTCAATATGTCATCAAGATGTCTGCGAATAATGTTGTTATGCGAATAATGTTGTTAGGAGCAGACGCTTCAAAATCTGTAGACGATGCTCCAAAATCTCCTTAATGACCTCAAAGTACGCTCTAGAAGCCAGTACATGAATGTTATCTTTGGAACTAGCTAGAGAAGTACATGGATTCAACTTCAACCATAACTCCACTATTTTGCATGGTACTACGATTATCCTTTGATTTTGTATAGAATGAAAATTTAGTAATATCGTATGCACTCCAAGTTATTACATTAAACTTAGACATATATGACATTCATTTAATTGTCTCGAATACACTACTATCTTTAGAAACCCTTTCATTAAACCAATTTATGAAAGTTTTGTTATTGCTCTGTCAACATCAATTTTTTACTCATCTAAAGGAAATTTTCCTTGATAAGGCTTTTATGAGCGGACATTTAAGGTTGAACTTTGTGATACGGTGGGAGAACTGACTTTTGGTTTTGCATTTTATCACAAATATTGCGGATAGCAAGAGTTGTCATCGACTTTTCTTTTATCCAATAAAGGAAAGGGTGAAAAGAACATGAAAGACCTTTAATAATTTTTCTGAGTAAGGGGGTAGGTTATGAAAAGGGAAGGTGTTAACACCCTTTTCATCCGTAGTTATCTACGGGCTCTTAATCGCTAGCTCACTTTTTGAAACGCTTTGTGTTTGTGTATGTTTGAAAATATTTTGAAAATGCCTAAGTACGACAATTTTGTAATGATTCCCGTATCGTTGAGAATGTATACAAAATGTTTGTTTTGAAAATATTTATTGAAAGAAAGTGTTGTTTTTGTTAAAATTGTTTTTGAAAATGTCAATGTAAGGCAATTTGCTTTATAATAACTATTGTATCAATCCTCAAGAGTGTTTATAAAACGTTTTTGAAGGTAGTTGTTTTTGAAAGTGTGAAGTGTGGAAATTGTTTAGTTTATGAGCAAGCGATTACGAGCGATCTACCTACTCAAAAAGTCTTTGTTCTTTTCCTCCTCCTTTAGATAGTGCTACCCTACTATTAGTTAGTAGGAATCCCTATCATTGGATATGGGGGACAGGCGCAGATCATCGTACAGTCATAGAAAGTAACTTGTAGGGCGCTTTAGCAATTTTCGTAAGGGATTAAGATCGTTTACCGAAGGCAATATCAAAGGGTCATCGAGTGACTACGATCTTTTAACCGAGGGTCTTTTTCTAAAGTGTCCCACATTCGAGGGACATGACTGTTTTCCGAAGGCAACAAGTGAAGTTACCCTAGAGGTACGTGTGTGAATAGTATTTTGATTTCAGTTAATTTGTCTTGATTTATGGTTATATATCGTTTAATTTTAAATCTTACCATACACGCCTAATTACTATACAATAAT